TTGCACTATTAATGAAATGAATTAATAAATAAATTTTTTTTCTATCCTGAAATGAGATATTTTATGCATTTTTATAAATACTGTTGCTATACATAAAAGTGCCATTTTGTTGAGATTTGAAATATTCCTATAGTTATAGAAAAACATTTTTGTGATAAATAAAAAGCATTCTCATAAAACCTAAAGGTATTGGATTCTCGTATCTATTATAAAAATATATAAATATTTTTACTTTGGGAAGAATACGTTTAACATATAATTGTAATCAGTAAAAATAACGTTTAGGTTAGGTTCGGATGGATACGTGTTTGGATACAACTGACTAGCACTCTCACTCTAAAACATCTAAAGTCCCTTCCGATGTTCTCAAAATTGCCTGAAACTAACGAGTAACAGTAACTATAGTTATCTCTAAATATTAGCGTTCTTAAGCCATTTCATTTTCCAAATTAAGTTAAGAAGTTCCGAGATGTCCATTTTTGTTAGTCATGCCTGATTTTTAACACATTGTAGTCGCTTCATCGGTAGTCTGAGATAAAGACGAAAAGTCATTCGTGAATTGTGATCCAGCTGAAGCCAGAAAATCATGAAATATTGACATATGTCATTTGAAGTCTGTTATTCGCCACAAATTATATGGATTTATAAACAGTGTTGCCACATATGTGTCAAACTGGAAACTTACTGAATGATGTCATATATACATTTGCCGAGATATATTTATTGTACTTGAACTCATGTACATAGGCACTCATAAAACAAAAATTATTCGGAACGGTTCTGTACCCATAAAAACGGAAAGAACTTAAATCGAAATACTGCAACAACTCTTTTATTGCCCACATCTCACTGACATTGCACCTCAAAGTGTACGAATGGCTCATTTAATTTGTAAAAAATATAATCAAACCGAATGCAACCATGTTCAGGGTATCTGTTGAGATCAGTTCAGACAGTTAACAATAAAATTTGAACGTGGCACTTCAAATTTATTTTCACTAAAATATATTCGTATGAAATTGTTTCCATTGCAGTAAATGCTGTACTGTTGCACTTTTTTCACTTAAAAAAATATTGCGAATTTATAATTCACTCGGTCATCCGCGAGTTTTTTTTTGGAGTGCAAAAATTGTGCACAAAAATAAAAAAGATATTAGTTTATCATTATCTCGCCTGTAGACATGCAGTTTATAAAAGTTTCAACTGCATCAATAACAGTTGGTTTTTACTGTTATTAAACTGGAAGTGCACGTACTGCAGCACTTGACTTTCATCAACTTACCAGCATCAAGTCCAGAATACTCGAGCATACAACCAGCGCAGCAGATAGGAAATGCATTAAAATAATCAGCGTGAATTGCGCTGTAAAATCCGAGCATAAATCGATAATCGCGTTGTGTCGCCGCACCGCCTTCGCGAGTTCGGAACGAATTCTGGAGTTCTGTGCAGAACTTGCTTGTTCATCTTAAATCGAGAAAAAGATGTGATTCAAAGTGGAATTCAAGAAATTTAAGAATTTATGGATTTTCTCACAACTTTAACAACGTAAACATATAAAATCACGAAAACGCAAGAAATCGCAAGAAACGCAAGAAAACACAAGAAAAATGCTTAAAACAAACGCAATAACAACAGAAGAGTGAAATGTCGTCTTAAAAGTACTTAAACGAGTACTCGTTTAACTACTTTCTTTGAAGGATGTGTGCTTGGCAAGAAGCGAGTAAGTGCGGAAAATGTGGGAAATGCGGGAAATGCGGGAAATACGGGAAATGCGGAAAATGCAGCTAATGCAAGACAAGAAGTGACAAGAAGTGACAATAAGCCACTCCACTGTCGTCGTCAACACACTTACATTTCTGCAATTCGGCGAAAATTTGGCGTATGTCGTGTTGCAGCATGCGGAATAGACCGCACGAGTACATGCAAGCGCACACGAAAAATCCATCAACGGCACTGAATGTGAACACTGTCATAGCGCCCGATAGTGCGAGTATGCAATAAGTTAGCGGATATAGCGGGTAATCTACGAATATATCCGGCAAGCTGGTTGCGGTTAGCGTTGCGGTGCCGTTCAGCGATTGTGTTTTAATAGCCCAGAGATGAGGTTGTCAGTGAAGATGGTTGTGGATGCCATCGAGTGGTGCGGATCGTAGTGGTATGGAATAGAAAAATGCATTAATAATATTTGCTTACAGTTTTTGCCCTCTCCTCACAGTTCACCCGTACAAATCAAAACATTGGAAATTGTAAAGCACTGCACTTAAACAAATTATAGCATTGAATATTATGTGCACAGTGCCGTATACGTATATGTGCTTGTAAGTAGTGTAATTGAACATGGCAAAATTATGTTTTCATATAAAAATCAATAGAAACAGAAAATGATCCAATAAAATCATGAAAGGATATTATGGAAAAAAACTAAAAAAAAAAAAATCAAATAGTAAAGTTGAGACCGATAAGCTTAATACACTACACATACGTGCGAAATGCGAACCCATGTATAAACACCGAACTGTGAAGCTTTAAGTACCTTATCAGTATAAAATATTTTACAACATTTAAAAATACTTGAAGAAACTTCAACGATGAGCAAATTAAATAGTTTATGGTATGAAGTACTCTTAGTTGTTATGTAGCCAGCGGACTACGTACTGTTTCCGCTACTGGTGAGCGGCAACTACTTACGGATATTAACAACATATAGATGACCATCAGGAATTTGTTTTAATTTCACGACTATTTAATCTAGGGAGAGAGGTAATCGTGCAAGTGTGCACTGCTGACCTACTTTACTACACTATTTAATCGCGTTAACCACTTATATTATTTAATTTTTATTTTATTTCAAAAGACTTATTAAGCATAAATTGCATTCGAGAGCAATAACCAAATAAAATGTTGAAATAAATTGAATGCATATGCATAAGCAACAAATATACCATCAAGTGGTAAATAGGATATCCGCAAAAAACTTCAGTTATTATATAAAAAAAGTCAAGTCAAAAATATTTATAGATTATTAAAAGCATTTCAATAGAACTTTTTAAAAAAAGTCGTGCTTATGAAAATGCTCTAAATTCAAAAATGAACCGGACAGATATTTAAGTCACCATGTTAAGTCTCCCAACCCTCCCAAATCAACCCTCAGTTTATATGAGTGCATCGTGAACAATATTATGTAAAGTAAGTTTAAGTTGAGAGAGTACTTGCGGATGCATATATCAATACTTCCACTAGGAGACAACTATTATGTATTGCAAAGCCCTCAAAATTGCTTGGGAGAAACAAAAACTATTGGTATGTCCATGTATATATTATACTTGTTAAGCCATTTGGTCTTTCAAATAAAGTTTACGGATCTGAAAAGTTTACTTTCCTTATCTCTGTCAGGCTAGTAAAGAAATGATCTACAAGGGTTTGAATTCTGCATAAAGTTAAAGAAATTGAGTGACTAATTTTTTTTCTACATCATAACAACTCGTGAAATAGCCTACTTGTCGAAATACACCACAGTTCACGTGTGTTATCTCTGTCACGCTAGTGAAGAAACAATATTAGAACATACAATTCGATTCGCTATTCTTCGTGATAAAGGCAGAGAAATTAAGTGATGCACTCGTCCTCTATATCGCAGCAACTCCTGCTGTAACACCAGTTGTGGAAATACACCACTTGTCAACTGTCGATATATCTGTCATGCCAGTAAAGAAACGATTTACAAAACTTAGAACTCGCTTCATCTGTAGTCATATGCACAAATCACTTATCGACGAACACCACGGTTAAAGTAACTGTGCAGTGTCACAATATCCCATTAGTACTTTAGTACAAACTGAAGCCTAGGTTTGTTAAAGCCCAAAATGCCCTTGTTTTATTTCTATCTAATTCAAGTCATACGTCTCTGAATGATCTCACAGTTTAAGACATTAGTTCTCAAGTCCTTTTGTTACCGCGCTATTATATTTGTACTATGATATTGAAGACTTCATACATTAAATTTTACACTGAGGTTTTAGCCTCACTTATGTATATTTCAGAAAGTATACATTTTTTGACAATTGGATGATGTCCTGTCAGAAATTATTTTTAAATTCTATAAACAATGCTTTAAAATGCTGGTCTAAAAATATTAACTGTTTTTAGTGTCAATATTAGTACTTGTCTTTTTGAGGATGGTCCAATCATTTTTAAATAGTTTAAGTAGTATATTCGAAAAGTTTTATGACCTATCAATATTAGATTTGTTATGGTAGTGGAAGAAGCTTCTTTTTTCACAAAATGATGATTCAAGTCTTTTAGTTTGCAGTCAATATTTCTTTTGATTACAATAAGGACTTTCTAGATTTCTAGGTTAGGAAAACCAAAGTACATTTTTCTTAAAGAGTTTTCAAATATCGTTCGTGTCAAAAGTCATTCTGTAGACTCAGAGTAGAGCAAAAGCATTACTCAAAATATGACTAGAAGTCCTATTCATTTCCAAACTGAAACGACAATGTTTTTCATTGAAGAGTTACGTCTCGTTAAGAGGATAAACCAGACCCAAGTTTTCTGACACTCTCAGCTGTGTTCTACCAAAGAGAGTTGCTGCTTTATTTGCAGATATATTACAGTTCCTTACCGTAGAGTTTATAAAAGATATTGTATCAGTTTTGAACAAGAACTTTTGTCTCTCTTGTGTAATTAAAGGCCAAAGTATCTTTTGTTAAAGAATTTCTAAATAACATCGGTGTTAAAAATGTCCACATTAGTTTATTTTTTTTTTCTGTGACACGGAGTAAAGCACAGCAATCACTCAAAAGGAAGCTTTGTTTTGATACGCAAAGAGATGATTAAGTTTAACATATTATAAATATTGTATTGAAATCTTCCATTCTTAGTGTAGTTGAACTTATCCCGTACTGAGTTTATGGTAGTGTTTAAACCGCACGATTCAGTTTATCCTGCCAGAAATGTTCTGCCGAAACCTTCAACTATTAGTGGAGTTGAACTTGTAACAAACTGAGTCAATGGCAGTTTCTGAAGACGAAAGCTTGATTAACCGTTTTTTGACAAAATTTACGATTATTTGTCACTATTGTAAAATAATTCATTGTGAAATGAGAAGTACTCGTATATAACAACTCCTTTTCAATATAAAAGTTAAACGAAAGTACTTAATCTAGACTATTACTATAATAGCTGAAAATGCTGAAATCGTTTAAAGAAATTATTGCCAATGGCACATGAAAGAGACCAAAAAGCATTATTGGAAATATAAGAAATTTTCCCAGTGATGAGCAAATTAAAGTGCATTTACGAAATAAATCAACTAAATTAAGATAAATTGGTTTCGCCATTTTTCTGTAAACTTACACAATATTGAAAGGCAGCACAGCTTGTACTTCCAATCCTTGCGAATATCTGTACAAATTTTTAATCAAAGGTACGATGTTGAAGAAGGCATTTGTAGTTGAGCCGGAAGTCAACAAAATGAAACTGAAAATACTAGCAATCGAAGCTAATTTCTCCACAATTTTCAATTTTTCAGTATTTTTATCTGGAAATATGAAAGCAAATCAGAAACTCAATGCAGAAATCAAATGGAAAATTTATTTATGGAAAATTGCAAATACATTTTCAATTTTTTATCGTCGTTACCTTCCATAAGCATATGCTTCAAACGTTGCACAATAGCTGACCAGTCCTTGTAATAAATGAAAAATAACAACATTTTCAAAAGGCAAATTGCCTTCGTCATGCCCGGACAGAACGCTTCAAGTGCTGCAAACAAGTCATCCAAATGCACGAAACCATACAAGTTTTCACCGAATGCACCCAACGCAACCACGGAAGTACTGAACCAAAACATCAAGACAGTCAGCCAGGAGCGATGATGTTGTGGCCAGAAACCACAAATTAAACCGGATACACGTGGTATACGAAAAAGGCTGAGCCTGATTGGCACTTGCGGTCCGAGAAAATCAAGCATTTCAATGCGAAAATTGCTCAATGATATTAATTGTTCGTTCGGCTGAACTGCAAGTGTCTGAACTGCTGATATATGAACTCAAAGGCACTGCGTCCTATCACTTACTAAACTATGGTTTTTGTAGTACGTAACAAATCAAGAATACAAAAAAATTTGATTAAAAAGAAAACTTAATTTGTTTATTACTAGAAATTAGTTGAAATTAGTTGAAATTAGTTGAAATTAGTTGAAATTAATTATTAATTATTTTGTTCTAGTAGTTCTGTTTTTCTGTTTTGCTGATCTTGTATTTTGCTGTCGGAAATGTGGTGACAAAACTTTTAATTACTTTGACTTGGCTTTAAATAACACATTTTGACCCTTATTTTTTATTCATCACAATATTGTGCCGCGCCCACTCTGGCTTCACTCTCTGACGTCTCATTAATTAAACTAATTATGGTTGAGATACTTTTGCTATTATTAATGTGGCTGTTGCTATTATTATAATTGTTTACATTGTTCGAAAAGTTTCTTGCCTCATCATCTCGCCTTGTGCTGTCTCCATCACCTACCAAAGATACTTTTGTTTTGATTGTAGTTTGATTTCATTTCTTACCGGAGTGTGAGGACAACATTTACAAATTCTGTGAAAAAACACAAATTACAAATACAACACAACTAACAAAACCAACATTAACAACAATCAGAACTCACAACTATTAATTAAAAGTTACGACTTCGAAAAGTTGACAGTTTTTGAACAACAACGAAATTACAAAATTCATGTTATTAAGATTTTTTATTTACAATTTTCAAAAAATAATTCACATAATAAACAAAAATTTTTTTTGTTAATTTTTTAAATAGTTTTTCCATTCAATATAAATATGAACAAATTATATGAACCAGTACAAATGCAGTCACATACACAAAACATTATTAATAATGTTTTGAACATTCTCAAAAACATTTATAATAATCTGCATATGGCTATGGAAATACCTTGCTATAACCAATCCGACATCTAATCAAGTTCCACTTCCAAACATTACCTTCCGCTCAAAAAGTACTCGGATTTTGTAAATAAAACTCACTAATTAAACTTTATTCCAAATTTATTTTATCGTCTTCAAAATATGCACCTTCTGAAGCGATACACATATGCCAACGCTTAACCCAATCTTCCATACACTTTTTGTAGGCCCGTGAAAGTATGGCTTTTAGTTCCTTCAGCGAATTCTCTTTTACCGATTCAATCGACTCAAAACGCTTACCACGAAGGGGCAATTTGAGTTTCGGGAACAGGCAAAAGTCGCATGGATCCAGATCTAGCGAATATGGTACCTGAACGATGACTGTGGTGCCGTGTTTGGTCAAAAAATCGCGTACAACAAGAATTTTCCAAATCCGGATACTTTTTGCAAAAGGTATATATACAAAATCTTATTTAAATTATCAAAAAATTCAGGGCCTTGTTTGAAATAGGCAGAGGGAGAGGACTAAGTGATGTCAGCTTGCCGAGTTGATTAAGAATATAAGTACTTTATAAAGTCTACGACGTTTTGTTCAATATGTAACATAAACATTGACAAACCTAATACACAGTCTTTTGTGTAAAAGGTATAAAAATGAATCTTATTCAAAAATTAATCTTCCAAAAAATCAACTAAAGTCATCACAATGTATATAACCCATTTCCAACTAAGGACTTAATATTAAATTAGTTCTTAATTGTAATACTATGTCTATGAAAGGTGATTTTAGCTCACCTTTCATATTTCTACACAGTCCGGTTAATAAGTATGTATCGCAAATTATTAAATGCCACAGAAAAAATTAACAATTAGTGAAATCATTTTTCATTACTTTCAAAATGAAACCCATTAAAATCAATGCAACGATAATATAGCAGACAGTTTAGCCCACCTTGGCGATTCCCATTCTATATGCAAGGTGTACTGGTACATGTTTCTCTGGAGACCGTTAAGAGAGGTTTCTGTTTTTACTTTTTCCGGTTAACTAATAATGAGTGACACTCAATCACAGCAAGTAAAGCATCGCTACTGACCTAATATTTATACAATAAGATCAGGTGCAGAGAACTTATTAACAGGGGCCGAGTTCATACTCCTTAACCTTAACTCATACTACTTGTCTTTTAGACAATAATTGTGTTAGGTTCTACACAGAGAAATCGCATGGTTGATTTAAAACTTATTCCAAAACACTTCAACAAAGAAGAAATAATCTAGTACACTCGTATTGCTTGCTTAGCCTTAGCTAACAAAAGAAACAGATATTTGGGAAAGTGCTTTCTTGACGTTCTCTCAAACTGCTCATTAGTAAAAATAAAACGTCTGTTAAATCTAATTTGCTAAATAACTTAACTGGACATATCTAGTTATGCTACATGTCGCAGTGTATAGCTGAGATAATTATAGCTGTGACTATATACTTTAATCGTGATGATATGAATTTCAAAGCAAAAGAAAGTCTAATTTATTGTTTAGTGCTGCAGTTATTTGAAAACCGATTGACAGATTAGAACGACACTTCTTAAAGAGTTTTTGTTTACATTGGGCTTTTTGGGGGAAATGCATTTACAGATGAGAGGAAAGCATTTTGTTAAAACCATTTAAATGGTTTTTTCTAACATTCTGAAGATTTTCGCTACTAATATTGGACAGAAAGAGCAAAAGAAGTGCATTTTGAATTATAGAAATCGATTTTACCAAAAACACTTCTTTCCAAACTTATGAATATTAATCCTATTTTAATCCTATTTAATCCTATTTATGTATTAATGATTCTTTCGCAAAATAGTTAATATTGTTAATTTAATTTAATGCTTATCAAAAATAAGAATATGATAAGGAAATTCTAACATAATGTACATAGATGTGTCGGTGGTTCTAGCTGGTCGATAGCACACATAGACCTGTACTATGTATTAGCTAACAAGTAATGTACATAATAAATACCGAAATCATAACCCTGTATCAAAACTAATAAACAAAAAGCCCTTCTCAGTATTAGCTTTAAAATGATGTAAAAATTTAATGCCTTATTTTTAATTTGTATAAACCCTAATACTATTTATGATTAAATTTTTTTTTTAATATTAAACGTACTGTTTAATTAATGGAAATAAACTGAATGTTATCGAAATGATCCTTTTTTCGTTTTGCTCATAAAAAAATATTAGCAAAAAGTTTTACTTAGTCATTAAATTTTTATTAACTAATTTTAAATTTTACAATTGCACACAAATTGGAATTACACGACTGATTTAAATCTCATAAAACTGAAATTTTAATATCCGTAAAATGGATATATTTGAATTATACAATCGGTTCAACAAATATAGGAATTTATAAATTGTCCTGTTCCATTGGACTGAATAATATTGCAAAGGACTTACTATAGTTTTTATTATTAATCTGCATAAGCGAATAAATTTAATACATCTATTTATGCGAACAGTTATGCAGGATCAGATTCATATACTGTGAAATACTCGAATATTCTGCATATTTTGTATATTAAATAATTTTTAATTTAATGCATTTGCAAAAATAATATTTACAATAATACAACAATCGTTTCCCAGGACCTTAAGCGTTGGGTCGGTGGGTGTTGGCAAACAGTTCGACTAATAAAATGAAAAATCATTTCAGCTAAAATTGCTTAATTGATTTTTATTTGCAGAGTTATGATTTATTTGAATTGCAATTTTATTTTGCAAATTGAATAGGAGAATTTTAACATATGTTCATATACACATAGTAATCCTAAAAAATTATTCAATGAAGTTGCTTCACGTTTTTTCGAACATTAAGTGCAGCTTTTCGCAATTTTATGCACTTTTAAGAGCAGAGCTCAAATCAAATACACTGTTAAGTGCAATAGTTCGCGAAAAAAACTAACACAACACATCAATTTAAAAGCATTTCTGATGGTAAAACAATTACAAAATAAATACATTTAATACCTATTGACCCACTCAATTCAATTCAGAAATAAAAAGAGTTCAGATATAACATATGTTCATGCTTAATTTACTGTCAATTCACGTTAGTTATGCAGATTACCTGGAAATCATAATCCATTATTTCTTTAATAGATGGTTTTACTTATCTGTATCCCTCCGACAATGTCAAGTCCTATAAGCACTGTTTCAATTGCCCAAGAGCTAAAAATTGCACAAAAAACTATTTGGAACCATTTAAATAAGGTTAGATGCAGAAAGAAGCTCACAGTATGGGTCACACACGAGTTAACGAAAAAAAATCATGGATCAAATTTCTATCTGCGAATCAATTCTGTATCACTAGAAAACTAACCTAGTTCGTTTGCAGCGGTTGGTGATCACTTACGATAACGTCAAGCAAAAATGATCATGATCGAATCGCGGTGAGCCAGCTGAAAGGGTGGCCAAACCAGGATTGATCACCAGAAAGGTTTTGCTGTATGTTCAGTGTGATTTACAGGAAAGCTGCACCCCTACTAAAAAAATTCTTAACTCGGAACTGTACTGTCAACAATGAGACAGTGCAACCGTCGAAAAGCAGCAATCATCCAGAAACAGTCAGCTACAAGCAACAAGAGTATTTGTTTTCCATAAGTACAACGCTAGGTCACACACTTCGATATTGACTCGCCAAAAGCTCCGTATACATAATTTTAAAGTTTAATGCATCCAAGTGATTACCATCGGTTCCCGCAAGTGGAGAACAATTTTTTTGCTGAAAAATTCGACTCAATAGAGGCATGTAAGAATCGACTGTCTTAATTTTTTTCCAAGAGTAACGAGGACTTTCAATGAATAAGCTTTCAATGTTATGCAAAAATAATAAATTTCTTTTCACTACACGTGTAGCATTAAGTCCAGTTAAGCTGAACCCTCATTTCAGTATGCAGAGAAATTTAAACAGCCAAACTATATCTACTGGTTCCTGATATATACAATGGAGTAAGTCGCAATATCATGAAATTTCAGTGAAGAAGATAATTCAAAG